ATATTATGATTTTTACATATTGCAAGATTCAATATGTTGTTTCAGATTGTAACATCTGTGTTTATAAGTGAGATCAGCCTGTGATTTTCCTGACTCATAATGTCCATGGCAGGTTCTCATGCCAAGTTTTGCCAGCCTTATGAAATCAGTTCTATAGCGTTCTCTTCGGTTCTATTCTCTGGGACAGGCATGGAAGTTTTGCATACATTCCTTTTAACAAAACTTAAGCACATAGACCCAGGAGGATTCACAGAGGACTAGAAACGTGCTACCTGACTGGGTAGCCACTTCATAACATCAGATGCTTGGTGCTGCTACACACAGCGAATTTTAACTTTGGCATAGTTTTAATCATCTTATACCATTTTGGACTCCGCTTTTTACGTTAATTATTTTGCTAATTTCTTTAGTTTTCATAATTATTTTAATGATTGCATATATATTGTATTAATAAATACTAATGTGTAGGGGATTCCTTCATTGGATATTTAGGGTTTTGTTTTTTTTTTATTTTGAGGATTATAGATTTTCTTGCTATGGATATCTCTATGCCTCAATAATATTTTTTTCTGTTAATTATTTTCTTTTCAATTCTCAAGTGTTGGATTAATGAATGTCTTGGTCAGCTCGGACTGCCATAACAGATTAGGTGGCTTAAATCAGGGGCCCACAATCCCCGGGCTGCACACTGGTACCAGTCCGTGGCCTGTTGGGAACCAGGCTGCACAGAAAGAGCCAGCATTAATGCCTGAGCTCTGCCTCCTGTCAGATCAGTGGGAAGCATTATATTCTCACAGTGAACTGTGAAAGTTCCCCTGTCCCCCTCTCAGGGGAGGCAATGGGGGTGTGGCTCGCTTCTTCAGTGTCCCACTGCTCAAACCTCTAGGGGAGCATACAGACGGGCAGGCTGTGGGGGTCCAACCCCACGGCAGCATCTAGGGGTGAATGTTTACAGCTCCTGAAGCCCCAGTGGGCATGTGTTACAGGGGACTCTTTTAATTTAGCCATCCATAGGTGGCTTCTGTTAGCTCAATTAGACCCCCTTCCTTATCACAAGGACAGAAGGATTTTTGTATCCCTGGGTTTCTTGTATTGGTGTACTGGAAGAATTGGATCACATATGGGCTTGGAGAATGAGTGCAAGGTTTTATTGAGTAGCTCTCAGCAGATTGGGGAGCCCGATAGGAGATGGTTTTCCCCTGGAGGCAGGCCACTCCATGGCCCAACTCTTCTCCAACCACTCCAGTCAAATTCCACGTCATTCCACCAGTCCATGGCCTGCTAGCCTGCCAGTGCCTGTTGATGTGCTCTTCCACCAGCGTGCTCTCAACAACCAGCCGCATGTGTCTTCTTTTGCCAATGTGTTCCTCACAACGTCCAGCCACTTGTGTCTGCCCACTAGGTCTTGGGTTTTTATAGGCCCAGGATGGGGGCGTGGCGGGCCAGGGTGGTCTTAGAAAATGCAACATTTGGGCGTGAAAGCAGGAGTGCCTGTCCTTACCTAGGTCCATGGGGGTGGAGCCCTGGCCAGGGACCCACCTTTCTCTACCCAGCACTTCCCTTCACCGCTCCCGTATCATTTAAAGGGACCACACTCTTCCCTTCCCAGCACTCCTGTATCAATAGGAGCGGGAACCCTATTGTGAACTGCACATGTGAAGGATCTATGTTACATGCTTTTTATGAGAATCTAATGCCTGATGATCTGAGGTGGAACAGTTTCTTCCTGAAATCCCCCACCCCACCCCCATCCATGGAAAAATTGTCTTCCATGAAATCAATCCCTGGTGCCAAAAAGGTTAGGGACTACTATCTTAAACAACATAAATATATATATTTTTTTCACAGTTCTGGAGGCTGGAAGTCTGAGATGCTAGCATGGTCAGGTTCTTATGAAGGCTCTCCTTCTGGCTTGCATATGACCCTCTTCTCATTGTGTCCTCACATGCTGGAGACATAGAGCAAGCTCTCTGGTGTTTATTCTTATAAGGACATTAATCCCATCATGAGGGCCTACCTCACACCATCATCTTACCCTTATTACCTCTTAAAGGGCCTATCACCAAATGCCATCACATTGGATGTTAGGGCTTCAACATACTAATTTTGGGGGACACAATTTAGTCCATAGCAGTGAGTCAAAGTGACTCTTACATATTGCTATTCTGATTTTTAAATGGTGTTGCAATTCACAAGACCATCATCAGAGTGTGGAAATTCTAGCCTCACTTCAGCCTTCCCAAGCAATGAATTTTAACAACCAACTTTACTGTACAAAGGAAAAAACATAATCTCTTTCCGCAGCTAACTCTATAGTAATTACTCTAAAATCTCTTCAGATTAAGTTGCTGTCAAGAAGAGATGGCCAAAGCCCCTTTCTACCTTCAGTATGTCATTACAAATTTTGAAGAGGCAAAATAGTTTTGTTGTTGGTGCAGACAGGGTAAACTGAGGGAAAAAAACAACCAAAAATCTCACTAGATTCCAACAACAGAATTTTGGTTTTTGCTCATACAGCATGCCCACTGTGGGTCATGTAAGATTCTACTCCACATCATCTCCACTCCAGGGTCCAAGCTGACAGAGAAGCCTGTTTGAGATATTAGCAGTCACCAGGAATGAAGGAAAAAAGACACAGTGACCCATCTGATATATTTTAAAGCTTCTACCCTGAAGTGACACATAACATTTCTGCCCATGTATCATTGTCAAAGCAAGTCACATGGCCATGCAATGCATTCAACATGCATTCAACAGGACAAGTATGTGGACAGGGAGTGCTACCTAGCAAGGAACACTGCAGGGTAGCAATCAGACTCTTCAGCAAACAATAATACAATCTACCACAGTTTTTTTTTTTTTTTAATCTTAGTATATTATACAAGAGTAACATTATCAGAGACAATGTTCAAAATGGCCTATTTAAATTTAGCAGAGGCACGACTGCAGTGGTGAGGCCATGAATCCACCCAGAATACCCCTGACTACATATCTGGCTGGATGCATGTACTCTTATATGCAATGCTATATATAATGTGTCCTTCAGGAAGGGGAACATCACACACCGGGACCTGTCGTGGGGTGGGGGGAGGGGGGAGAGATAGCATTAGGAGATATACCTAATGTAAATGAGGAGTTAATGGGTGCAGCACACCAACATGGCATATGTATACATATGTAACAAACCTGCACATTGTGCACATGTACCCTAGAACTTAAAGTATAATTTTTAAAAATTAAAAATAAATAAATAAATATAATGTGTCCTTAAGGAGTCAGTGCTGATATGGGACCAGCCAAGCAGAAGAAATAAGTGTTGCCTGAATTACAGTGGGGTATACTGGTTTACCGCCACAGTTGTAATGTATTTATATTGTATTAACTAAGCATTAATGGAACAACACTTTTCAGAACAGCTTTCTCTGAATACTACTGCCTTAATCAGGTCTGCCAGATATTTTGCATGTGAAAGGTTATGGTGTCACCAGGCACTGTTGCAATTCACACAGGTGAAGGCAAATTTGTTGTGTCACCTTGTTGGTATGGGGCAATAGCTGGATCTGTAGTTCATTTAGCCCTGCTGGGTCTCCTTCAGCTTCTCCAACTCCTGGGGCAGTTATGTGAAGTTCCTGGTATAAATCTACAACTCCTTCATCTCCTCACATAAAGAAAATTAACATCTTTATGATGTTGAGTCATCCCATCCCAGATCTAGGGATAGCCTTTCATTTTTTGAGTATTCTTTTGTTTTCCTCCTCAGCAATAAAAAAACGTTTTATGTGGCAATTTATAATTTTTAATGTTTATTTCTAAATCCCTACTTATTTTGAATTACTTTTCAAATTGCGTCTTTAACCAAATTTTACACATATATATATGTGTGTATATATATCTATGTGTATATATATATCTATGTATGTATATATATATATATATTTTTTTGAGACGGAGTCTCACTCTGTCGCCCAGGCTGGACTGCAGTGGTGCGATCTCCACTCACTGCAAGCTCCGCCTCCCGGGTTCTCGCCATTCTCCCGCCTCCGCCTCATGAGTAGCTGGGACTACGACAGGCGCCCACCAGCACGCCGGCTAATTTTTTGTATTTTTAGTAGAGACGGGGTTTCACAGTGTTAGCCAGGATGGTCTCGATCTCCTGACCTCGTGATCCGCCAACTCGGCCTCCCAAAGCCAAATTATATATTTTAATAGGTTATTTTCTGTATATGTGAAATCTAGTGATGAATTACTATTAATTTTGTACTCAGCCACACAACTAAATTAGGATACAAAGTGTAATGCTTAATTTTCCCTCTCCGTTTCCAATTCGTGAAACTTTGTTATTTCTTTCCTTTATTCTTATGTATTAACACGTATAATGTCGTTTGGAAAGCATCCAACCATTCTCAGTTTCCTCTTTCAACTTCTCTTTTGATAATCAACTGATTGTCCTTTTGGTGTCTTAATATAGCAAATGAAGAGATTTCTTAATATTTAACTCACCTTTCATTAACTGCTCATGGCACATTACACTTTGAATATGCCGCTCTGGATTATATTTGCTAATATTTGGGATTTTCCCATTAATGTTGCAAAGCAACCACATCTGCGGCCAGGGAGCAAATAATCTGGCTAAGACATATACGGAGAAGCAAAAAAAATGTGTTCCCAGAACTCTACTCAAGTGGCGTCCAGAGCCCAGGGTTCTGAATGCAATGTCCAAGGACTAACGAGTGAGGGGTCAGGAGGGGTGCGGCAGGAGGCCGCATCAAAATCCAGCAACAGGGATCTTCTGCTCTCCAGAGGCAACAGGCTCAGCCTCCCCGCACACCGACTGCTGTCCTGAGAGCCCCACTGGCGCGCCTCGCATAATCTCCGCCCCACTCCTCTGAGGCTACACCGCCTCCTCGACAGTATTATGCCCAACCCCGACCTCCCGGCATTGGCCTTCTGCGCCCCGTGACGCACCGGCACACTAGTGACCACAAGGCTTTGTGGGCGGAGCTCGCGCAAGCGCCTGGGCCCTCCCCATGGCTCCGCCCACGGCCCGCCCTGGCCGGGGCCCCCTCCCTCGACATGCACTTCCGGCGACGCCTTCTAGCTGACCCCCAAGCAGCCCAGCGAAACTCAGCGGAGCGCGCGCAGCGCGATGGACGGTCGGGTGCAACTGATGAAGGCCCTCCTGGCCCGGCCCCTCCGGCCCGCGGCGCGTCGCTGGAGGAATCCGATTCCCTTTCCCGAGACGTTTGACGGCGATACCGACCGGCTCCCGGAGTTCATCGTGCAGACGGGCTCCTACATGTTCGTGGACGAGAACACGTTCTCCAACGACGCCCTGAAGGTGACGTTCCTCATCACCCGCCTCACGGGGCCCGCCCTGCAGTGGGTGATCCCCTACATCAAGAAGGAGAGCCCCCTACTCAGTGATTACCGGGGCTTCCTGGCCGAGATGAAGCGGGTCTTTGGATGGGAGGAGGACGAGGACTTCTAGGCCGGGAGACCCTCGGGCCTAGGGGCGGGTGCTCTGGGGAGGGTCCGCTGTGCCAGTGGCCACCGCCAGGGTCTCTACAGGCGCCCTCCCTCCGCGCCTCTCTCCCTCTCGAGTGTCCCCTGCGCTCCTGTCCCCTCCCGCTCCTGTCCCCTCCCGCGTAGTGCTTGCCTTTGTTCCAGGAATAGCGTTCCAGGCTCCTGCTGCCGCCCCTGGGCCTCACTCTGGAGCGGGCTGCCTCCACCCTCTCGTGCCAGCCCAGCCCTTCCCATGCACATTTGGACGCCGTCCTGCGCTCCAGCTGCACAAAGCTGGGCTCCTGTTACACACTGGACAGCCCACACACAGCCGTGGCTGTCAACCCCCCTCCACTCCTCCAGACTGCCAGCCGAGTACATCATTCTGCCCACAAACCTACGCTACCACTGCCATCGCCGTCCACCGCATCTCATCAACAGACTGCCGCTCCTAGTGATCTGGACTCACCTCAGAGGTCTCTGAGCTGGACACAGCCCCTGGACAGTGATCCAGACAGCTGGCCGCCCCCCAAGGAGCCTGTCACCTTCAGCAAGACCCATTTCCTCCCCATCCCCAGAGACCTCTTGTGTTCCTGCCACATAGCTGCCAGGGCTTAGGTGTGCCTGGCAACCAAATGGAATCTCTCATTTTCTCCTGTGGACCAGTTAGTTTTGCCTAGAATCCTGTTTTCTTCTGAATTTGCAGCTGTCTCTCTGATGTGTGCCTTTTGTTCAACACAGTAAGCCCTGCTCCCTGCCCTGCTCTAATACACTACCTGTACAAGGTCTTTTCCTTATTTTAATAAATGTCAGACACTATTAAATAGAAATGGAGTCTCAATGAATATGGCACCTTTCCCTCCCTGGTTCTGTAAATAGGGTCCCTATCTTGTTCAAACGCTATGTGCCCTGCCATGCTATGACTGAAGTTGACTCTTGCATTATAAAAACAAAAGATTGAGTCCTGTGGAGTGTCCTAGGGATGGAGATCTTACAGGCAACCATCTAATGCCAAATGATGACCCTTCTAAATCAGGCAGTTTCATGCCACTTTTGAGGTAGACATTGATCTGATTTGGCCAAGGCAATGTGAAAAACTGTGGAAAAACTTTTGTAAAAGGTTTCCTTATTTTCAAAAAATGGCTACAAAACACAAATCTCAAATTGCTCCATACCATAAATCCCATACATTTGTTTGTGAACACCTGTCAAAGTTTTATTTAACCAGAGATTCATTAATGAAACATCAGAATTGCAGAGGTGTTCTATGAAAGCATTTATATTTATAAAACCTTGAATATGGAGGTAATGAGGAAAGGGATGCAGAGCTGTGATTATTAATTTAGGTACATACCTGGTTGATGACCTGCGAGACGATACAATTATAACTTTCTCTAGTGAGCAGAATAAAAGTTAATACTCATTACTGTTTCTCTGTAGGCTAATCTCTTAAATCTATAGTGCTACAAACAGCCTCTGTTCCATCAACTATTTGATGTTCAAATTTGTTGGTGAAATTTATTCCAGTAGAATCCAATAGCACAGCACTCTGGTATTAAAAGATCACGCATCCAACTCTGTCCCTTATTTCCAATTTGTGTGAATTTCCAGAACATGTAAAGAGGTGGGAATAGGCTGAGCTTAGTGTGTAGCTAGATTTGCTTGATGTGTGGGTGGAAAATGAAAACAGACTGTGATTGTACCACAAAAAGGACTGGTCCTTATACTTTTCTGTCCTCTGCCTTGGGGAGATGAGACTCTTTGTCTTTCAACTTTAACTTAAATTGGTGATTAATCACCCTTAGCCTTTCATTGTCTCTCTGCAATTCAATAGCCTCCAGTAACAACCATATATGATCGCATAATCTTTATAATTACTACTTCCTCTGAACCTTTCAAATTCTTGAGATACTGCACCTGTCAGTAAATTTCCTTCCATTGATATCCTATCTCAGTTCACCACGGGTGGAAGTTTTGACAGTTGCACCACTACCACATAGCAGGTTATCAGTACTTCCTTTACCAACAGTGATGTAGTTCCCATTACTAGCCACCTGGCAGGTAATCAAGCTCCAAAATCCAATTTTATAATCTGCCTCATGACCACCACTAACACCAAATATTAAACTTTAAGCTCCCTCAGAAACAGACTCTCATGAACAACACTTGTAATGGAGTGATAGAAGTAGGATCCAGCAGAGGGAGAATTTATGAAGAAATATACTTTTACAACAGATGCCTCACCTGATCCCACAGGGATATCTAAAGTTGGCACAGCCATTCAGAAATGTTCTAAATGGAGGCTGGACACAGTGGCTCACACCTGTAATCCCAGCACTTTGGGAGGCCGGGGCAGGAGGATTGCTTGAGGCTGGGAGTTGGAGACCAGCCTGGGCAACACAGTGAGACCCTGTCTCTACAAAAAAATTTAAAAATTAGCCAGGTGTGTTAGTGCACACCTGTAGTCCCAGCTACTCAGGAGGCTGAGGTGGGAGGATCGCTTGAGCCCGGGAATTGGAGACTGCAGTGAGCTATGATCACGTCACTGCACTCTATCCTAGGCGACAGAGAAGACCTTATCTAAAAAAAAAAAAAAGAAAAGAAAAGAAAAAAAAATTGTCTGAATTGAGGAGAGGCCACATTGACTAGTTTTTCGATGTGGTGTTACCTGGAGGAGGTGGTGTACTCTTTTTTTTTTTTTTAATTCACCATTTAAAAGGAATAAGATAGACCTATGCTAGCTACTTTGGAGAGATTTTTGCAAGGTTTTGTTCAGTAAGAAACACAATATGCAGAAAATTGCATAATGTGGCCCATTTTTTTGTTAAACAGATGTTAACCCCAAAGGCCTACATATGAATACACACGCACAGTCACACACATATACAATAAGCTAAGTATGAAGAAAAATATAGACATATATACACTAGCGTGTTAGCGCAGGCCACAAGACGTGAGGAAAGGTTGATGCCAGAGATGGAGTAGGGCCTTAGAGAGGGGGATGCACACAACAAAATGAAAGAAAAAAAGGCTGCTCTAAAACGCAGGGAGATTAAATGTATGGCATTGAAAACTGAAAAATCTATAAAAATTTGTGAGGAGTATATAGTATCAGTCAGGGTCCCAAAAAGAAACAGAAGGTACATACAAATGGGGTGATTGAGGAGAATTAAAAGAACAAACTATATACAGATGTATGGGTAGGTTTCAGATAAATTATGATAGATTGGATAACTGTTCCACAAATATTCACTCCTCACTTTCCCACACTCCTATGGTGAATGTAATTCCCTGCTCCACTGGCTCTAAGCTTGGCCGTCATTTGTTATTGCCAATGGAATATGAGCAGACATGACGTAAATAGAGGATTTAAATATGCTTGAGTGGTTTTGCTTGTTTTCTTGCCTTCCTATGATTGCCATGAGAAGAGCATGCCTCCGGTTGTTGCTGATCCCTCAGCTTGGGCCATACAGTGATTCACATGGAACAGATCTAAACACAATCTGAATCCCAGAGCCAAGCCCACCCTAACTGTATCCTGGAGAAGAACAGCCCCAGATGGCCCATAGCACATGAGCAAAGAGAACAAATGATTGTTAATTAATTTGGAGGAGACTTCTTCTACAGCATTATTGTAGCAATAGCTGACTAATACTGAAACCAACAATGGATTTTGAATTATCCTGGGGCTAGCAACAGTAGTGAGCTGTTGCCTCCCACCAAGGCATAAAAGAGTAAGGGCTGGGAGGGGTTACTGGAACACAGAGAGCTCTAGCTATAGAAGAGAATCCCTGGAAAGGACCTGTGGCCTTTGATAGAGGAACTCAGCCACAGCCACCTCTTAATCTGTTAGAGATGGAGCTCTCCCATTGACCAAACTCAACCAGAAGCCAGAGAGCAAGGGAACGGTTTATGCAGTCCATAAAGGTCAGCCTCTGGGAACAGAGCTGTCCCTGTTCCAGGATAGAGGAGAATGGAAAGTGAATCTGGAAGAGCAAATGGAATGTATCCAAGAGATATGTGAACAATCAATTCTGAGTGAGAAACATTTGAAAAGATGCATAATTGCAATAGTAATCAGAGAGATTTTAGATAGAACAAAAACAGGTATCATTTCAAAAGCATTACATTGCCAAAAGTAGACCGGGTGCGGTAGCTCATGCCTGTAATCCTAGCACTTTCGGAGGCCAAGGCGGGTGGATCACCTAAGGTCAGGAGTTCAAGACCAGCCTGGCCAACATGGTGAAACCCCATCTCTACTAAAAATACAAAAATTAGCCAGGCATGCTGTCGTGTGACTGTAATCCCAGCTACTCAGGAGGCTGAGACAGGAGAATCGCTTGAACCCAGGAGGCGGAGGTTGCAGTGAGCCGAGATCACGGCACTGCACTTCAGCCTGGGCGACAGAGTGAGACTCCATCTCAAAAAAAAAAAAAAAAAAAAGAGAGAGTAAAAATGACCATATTAAGTGTTGAGGGGATATGGAGAAATGAGAATTCTTATATACTGCTTTTAACAGTGTAGAATAGTACAACAAAATTGGAGATGAATGTGGCAGCACCTTGTAAAGTTTAAGACAAACATACCCTACAACGAAGCAATTCCAACAAGGATGTTGACTATAGCATTTTTTTAAATGTTTATATGATTAGTAACTCTGCTAAGCTGCATAGTACCTTTATCTAAATTAATAAAAGGTACCTCCTCTTGGGGAAAGCAGCCTCATGAATGCAGAGTTTGTTAAGCTGTTAGTAATTTTGTGCTTCAAAAAAAAAGCAAACTGTATTAAGTGTGTACGCAGCCCCACTGGTTGACGTGGTGGACTAGGTAGGGGCTAGATTGTAGCCTCAGTCACTCATTTGGTAAGAGGCACTTCTGAAGTGAGCAACCTACAGATCATAAGCAGCAGCCCTGTTTGCAGGAGCCAAAATTTGAAGCAACATAAGTGTCACCAGTAGGAGTTGGTGTTAATATAAAATTATTAATATTGTCAAGCAGAAAGTTGCCATACAGCAATTCTACTCCTAGGTATATATCCAAGAGAACTGAAAATATATGTCCTCACAAAAGCTTGTACATTATTCATAATAACCAAAAATGAGAAACAACCCAAAAACTCCGGAAACTGATGAATAGATAAAATATAGTATATCCATACAATGGAATATTATTCAACCTTAAAAAGGAATGAATGCTACATACATGCTACAACATGGATGTACCTTGAAAACATAATGCTAAATAAAAGAAACCAGTCACAAAATACCACATATTGTATGACTCCATTTATATGAAACTTCCAGAATACACGAATATATAGATGTGGAAAACCATTTAGAGGTTGCCTGGGGTTTGAGGAAGAAGAAAACAGGGAGACATAGGGTATTTTCTTGGGGTGATGGAAATGTTGCAAAATTAGATAATGGTAATGGTTGGACAACTCTGCAAATATACTAAAAACCACTGACTTGTATATTTTAAAAGGGTACATATTAGAGTAAGTGAATCGTATCTCAATAAATCTGTTATTAAAAATTAATTGTATTTCTATTTAATAACAACAAAGTAGGGGAAATAAAATTTAACAAAATAATACCATTTATGATAGTGTTATAAAGTATCAAATATCTAGAAATAAATCTATAAAATAGCTGCAATACCTCAACACTAGTAACTACAAAACATTACTGAGATGAATTAAACAACTAAATAAATGGAAGGATATAAGATGTTAATGAATTGGAAAATTCAAAATTGTTATGGTATATATTCTCCCTAAATTTATTTTTAGATTCAATGCAACCCCAATAAAAATCAAGCAGATTTTAGA